TCATTGTGCCCATAGTCTGTGTGTGTTTTTGCATGTTTCAAAGAGAACTTAATTGGTGTCGGTCTTGGGCAGGCTCGGGCTGAAAACTTGCTTTGGGCCAGACTAGGGCTTTAACACCATAAGCCAGGGCACCATGCTAGGAGTTTTTTGGCCTGTCCAGGGCTCTAGTACACTCAATATGCACCACCTATAGGACAGGAAAGTCACAACAGCAGAAGTTAAGATGTGCAGATGTGGATATTTTAATGTTTCCTCAAACAGGCAATTTTAACACTCATGCCACCTGCAGGCTGTGAGTTTTACAACTTCAGGGATTCTTAATAACTGCCATTTTCTTTTGGGTGTGTGATGTTTTACTTACTTAACACTTGATAACACTAAATGTAATAAAACGTTTTCACTAACCTCCTGTGGATAATAGACCATTGGACATCAGCCATGTGCTTGTTAACCGTCTGTATAAATAGGTACCGTTTCCACAAATAAACAACAGCCATGCAAATGATTTATTTCAGATAAATAAATTCTGATTAGGACCCCTTTCCATTCCTCGACAAAGGTGGACCACCCTGGGACAGAGAACAAATGAGAACAGATGACTAAGAGCAGCGTGCGCCCTGCAGACCGACTCTTCAGAATTCAGCAGATACCGGCTGAAACATTCATTGGCTGCAGGTGGAACAAGTGTCAAAACTGCAGAAACTATAACTTTGCTTTTCTCGAGCAGATGCATTTGCATCTGCAGGTCTGAATGGGTGGCACTGTAGCTCTGCATGGCTGTCAATTTCCACCCCCTCAGCAACAGGTGGCTGAATGTTTATAGACACCACCATAGACACAAGTTCTGTTTTAAAGGGATTTGTCTGCTAGATTAAAATCAATGTGGCTTTGCAAGATATTCTGGTTTTCTGTTGACAGATTTGTAAAAATATTTTGATTTTATGACATGTTTCTTTCAAAAAGCCATGTGCTTTTTCATGTTACACAGCCCCTTAGTGCTTACAGAGTAACGCTTCATGTTGCTTCTGTTCTCTATGGCCTTTAGCGGTCTGTGAGAAATGTGTGCTTTTATCAATATGTAGTTGATTGTGCAACAGTTGTTTCATAATTTTAGCAATATTTCTTATTACCCATGAAAAAAAATATTTGTCCCTCTGAAATCAACTTAAGTAACATTAAAACAAGGATTATTCTTTTCAATGTGTACATAAGGCCATATTGTGTATATTAATGTCATTGGTGCCTTGAATGTAAGAAATGTAATTATAAGCAGAAGGTTGGCTTTTCAAACTGCTACAGTGAATTGTTCATCTTCAGAAATCAGAACACTGCAGTTGCACTCGGTATCAAATGGGAAATAAAGTGATTTCCTTAGATGAGCAATGAAAATAAACTGTTTGTGTTTCCTGTACTTTTATTCTGTAAGTTTGCCAAGACCAGCTCTGGTAACCTTATTCTACAATCCACTGTTACTTCCCAAGGAAGATAAAGAATGATGAGGATGGAAAGAAAAATGGCCAATGGGTGGATGAACCTGAGAACAGGCACTATAGATGAAAACTTTTGCTCTACACGTGGCTGGCTTGCTTCTCTTTTGTAATCTTGTCAAAAGCACTTGTAATAAATTCAGAATTAATGCGTACAGAAATATTCCTTTTAAACAGTGAAGATTGTGTGATTTTTCATGGTTGAGGGAGGTGTCTACAGAGGGCTCATCCTTATTAAATTTGAGATAAGCTTATCAGCTCTCCACTTATGCTAACTTAACCTATGGCTTTAATGATAGCCTGCCTCAACATATGCAGGATGTTTGGGTATGCCTGTGTGTGCTTGAACCCAAAGTGTGATCTGCTCACCCCCATTGCCCTGCAGTCCCGGGTTAGTGTGTATTTGAGGCCTATTCTCTCTCTCTCTCCTCTCCCCCACTACTCTCAGTGTTTTATGGGCTGTGTGCTGCGGTGCAGTGACCTCCCTCTCACCCCGGTGCCACCCAGCCGGTGCAGGATTCAGGCGCGCATGGCCCCTGCCAAAACCCCATAGCGCCACATCTGCAATCCATAAACGCCAGCCACTCTCGCTCTCCTACTCCCTCGCCCCCACACCGCCTCAGACTCTCACACTCCTCCATTTCACTCTCTCTCTCTCTCACCCACTAACTTTTTATTTTAATTTCCAAATTCTATGCATCCCCCTTTTTGCATTCCTTTGACTGCTTCCTCCCACCACTTCTGGTTTTATTCATGCTGAACATCAACTGGCTCTTCCCTTATCTCTCACTCCCTCACTGTCCCTTTTCTCTCCTTCCGTTTCTTTATCCACATCCAACGGAAAAATCTCTCACCCATTATATCTTCAGTGGAAGCCAACTAAGTGTGGTGGCAGTGAACTAGGAACCACAAAACATTCCTGATCCAAACAGCACTAAGTCACCAGCATTCACGTCTTCTGACAGCGGCCTGTGCCAAACACACACTTCACTTATGGGCTGGATTCAGCCTTACCACGTCGCAGTTGGTCCCCAAACAGCTAAATGTTTATCTGTTTCAAATTGATAGTGTCAGGGAAAAATGCAGTGTACGCATCTACACTCACTCAGTACCATTTTTGTACATGTGTTACTTAAAGAGCATTCTCCATCAAGGGGGTATTGAATTCCCCCTCCCCTTGCCATGAACTGCTGGCCAGCAGAACACACAACACCCCTCCCCTCAGCCTTAACAAGATGTGTTCAACACATCACTGTTACTGTGCCCTTGCCTTAATACATGTACAAAAAAATAGCAAAGTAGGAAATAAATTGGGTGTTACCACATAACTGTCCAGAGATCCCAGCTTGCCCCCCAAGGGCAATAGAAACATTAGTCTTTCTCGATTGTATTATCTTTTTTTCTTCAACTTTTTCCACTGTAATCAAATAAAAATGCACACAGTGAACTTTTGCTCCCCTTCATTTCTTGGATCATGTTCTCCTCTTCATCCCAAAGTCTTCACCTTCTGGTTTCCCAGACATATTGGCAAGGCCTCTGTGGTGCAGTCCCAACACAGCCCAAGGATGAATCATGTTGCTGCAAGCATGCAAGGGCTTAGTTTTATGATAAATATTGCAATTCATAAATCAGTATTTTTTTAAGCAAGGAGGAATGGGGCAGGGAAGGACACAAAACTGTAGGGCATTGCAGCTTCAGTTTGAAAGCGACAGAAAAGAGGTCATGATCTGTTGACTAGAGCTGAAAAGGAGGTTTCAGGTCAGGGCAAGACCACCATGGAAAGAGAGAGCAGGGTGTGTATGTGTGTGTGTGTGTGTGTGTGTGAGAAGGGGTGTATACTGCCGGTAGTAAGCAAAATGCTATAAATACTTCTACTTTTAGATGTTGATAGACTTTTAGGTGCGGGGTACAGAAAGTGTAGTTAAAAACAACAACTGTTTTGAAAGCTGTTACTTTCCCTCACAATGATGTAATATTGGTTTCAGCTTAAAATAGCTTACACAGGTTAAGAAGTCTTGTATTTTGTGCTTTGTGTTGTTTCATACTGTATTAAATTCATTCAAAGACTGGTTATTAACTAGGTCTTGGTGGGCTCTTTTCTTTGTACAATCCACTCAGGCATGTTTGTGATAAATGATTACATAAATAAATGAACCTGACAGCTGCAATTTGTCAAAGGCCACAAGTCATTCACTGAGAATTTTTGCTTAAAAGCACAACTTGGGAGTTATTTTTCCCTGATTAAAATTCCACAAATATCCCAAACATGATCTATATAATGATTTTGTCCCAGTTAGTACATTTTAGTGTGGCTGCAGCAAGCTCTAAGCCACATCTGCATGACTTCAAAGAGTTGCCAGTGTAATGGGCTTGATACATGACTAATGTAAAAACTATTATTGATCTGCCAGTTGCCGTGGTAACAGCCCCCATTATGTTTAATCATAAAGCACATACACAGCTATTTGTTCAATGGTAGTCACTCAAGTATTTTTGACCCATTTCAAAGTTGCTCAACAAAGCAGTGAGGAAGCTTTATGAATACTTATTCATTGCTGCCATCTAGTGGCCGAAAGGGACTCAGCAGCAAGTTAGAAGCTTCTTGGGAAAATGTAAGAAAGATGAACAGCAACTAAACAGGATATAGTCTGGATCAAAATAGTTTTATTTAATACACATTACACTTTTTGAAAATGTCCTGTGTCTGTATTGCATTGTCAGGTTGTCCTTCCACTATTCCATGTCCAAGTCGTCCATCTCCACAATGCCTTCTCTCTTGACCCAGGGTAAAGACGAGGGCACGTAGGGGTCATATGTCCAGCGAGGATACACTCTCTTGTACAAATTCATCAGCACAGTGTCTTGAGAGGGCAGCTGATTATCAAATACACACTTCATGTGACCGTGTGTTCCTGAAAAAATAAAATACAGCAGTTTGAATTTAACAGGAAATAACAGACATTGCTTAACAAAGCTGCTGATGCCAAGTTTGTTTTTGAAGTGTTCTCACCTAAAGCCTCCTTGATGTGGCCTCTTCGACCCCACTTTGTTCGCAGCTCCACTGGCTTGAACCACATAATGTCATCTGCCACAGAAAGAAAAGAAAAAGTAAATCATGAAGCTTAAAGCCTCACAGAAGTGAAACAGTGTGTAATATTCTGTTGTCATAGTAAGAAAAGTATGAGAACATCATCTCACCCCTGTTAAAGAACATGTAACGGACCACCGCAGAACGCCGGTTAATTTTGAACGGGTGTCCGCTCAGTACTATTCTCTTCAGCACGACACGCTGAGGGTCACAACTGAGCAGACTGCCTGTAGCCACAAGGTCCTGGATGCCTAGAAAGTCACAGCAACAAGAACACAAGCTCAAATGCCAGTGCAGAATTACCTTAAGTGGATAATTAAATAAAACAATCAACAGACAACAAAATAGACGGTCAAAAGTTTAAAAATCAAGGCAACGAGACCACTAATGAAATCAACTTATTTCCAAGCACAGATGGGACTTTTCATCTCACCATCATTCCTTTGTTTGAAGAGCAGGACTCCCGCAGGGTTGAAGGTGATGGGAGCGTACACAGACACCACGGTGGGGGCATCTGGCCTGAGGAAGCGCTCCATCTTATGCTTGTCAGCTGGGGAAGAGCAGAGCTGAGTTCAACACTCAATAATTCATTTACAGCTCTATATCCAGCAGCTAAATCCGTTTCAGACCACTTGCTTCTACAATCTTTCTGCTAATATCGTTTTGAACTGAAGTAGCAGGAAATCCATAACGCTATCGAATGACATACTAACCAGTAATTGGTTCGGCATAAAGACACTGTACTATAAAATCAAGCAAATACACTGAAGCCACTTCCTCCAAGACTCTATGCTGATTTGGATAAGAGCATCACTAAATTCCTAGAATACTAAAATCATGTCCATCCTCTCCAGCTTCTTGAGCATTTGGTGTCATATCAAAATGGCAAACATAACAATTAAATGTTGATTGACACAGTGAATATTTGATGGTGGTTGTGGTTTTGAAGAGGAAAGCTCTATTAATCGGTTTGAAATGTGAGTGTAGTGAATCCCTGTGTCAAAGTTCACCAAACTTCACGCTTTGTCTCTGTAAGCATATCCACTTACTGCATTAGTTACATTGAAATTAACTGATTTTGGTGCAACATTTCACTTGTGAATGCTGATGCAAGTGAGCCCTTAATATGTCGTCGTCAGTCCTTTTGTGTAGCTTGGGTCCTATATAGCTCTCAGTTCTTTTAATGCATGCATTGAGGTGATTTTAAAAATGACTGTTTGATTAAGAGGATAATCAGGTTGAATTAGGGGTTTTCTCAGTTAACAGGATTTCTACCTGATGTGTGCTGAGAGAAGATAGGAGAGGCCCTGAACCTCCGAAATCCACAGTGAAACACCAGCTCCTCTTTAGACTTGATGGGCTCTGTGTTGCTGGGGTGTCTCCTCACCAGGAGGTGCATTACTGACATCTGTGAACCGAAGGAAAATAATAATACAGTACTGTCAGTGTGACTTAGTTTTAAATGGACAGTTATGAATTCAGACACAAAGGCTATTAGATGTCATACCTTCTGTTCATGTGGCAACAGAGACACCAACGTCAGAGGTCTGCCTGACTGGACACTCTCCATCACAGAAAAAGGCACATCAATGATGTGCAACGTAACATACCAGCCCACCTGAAGCAGAAGGGGCAGCAGAGTCAGCCACAGATCTAAAACCTAACAAAAGAACATCTACAAATGAAGAAAGTCACTGTTTTTTTTACCATGGCTCCCTCTTCCTCAACTGCGGCCTCAGCCAGGATGCGATGGCGAGTGCGTTCAAAGCTTTGGAACTGGAAGATGCGCGAGTAGTTGAGAGGCAAGTTCTCCATGGGGTCCCAGGGGGAGGAGCGGAAACTTTTTAGACCTCTATAGCGCTGGAACCTAGACACAGAGGAGAGCAAAATGATCTATGAGACAATGATGCTGAGGTGAGTTTTCCTCCCCTTTTAGTCTGAAGCGCTCTGACTATCAATAATAAATCATTAAATAAATATATTCTCTCAGAATTTGTCTTTTTTTCGTACCTAAATTCACAATACTTATTTATTTATTCCTCATCCTACATAAAAGAAGAACAACAGACCTGATTCTAGCTGCCATGTCCAGGGGTGTGTCCACCTCATCGGGAAACATTTCATTCGCCCGAGCCTCCCGGTAGCGTTTTAGGCCTTCTTCTTCTGCAGCTTCATCCAAGTGCTCATCATAACGCTGATCTGCTCCAGTTCGCTCCGTGGAGCACACCTCTTCCTCTTCCTCCTCTTCTTCCTCTTCATCTGAGGCACAGCCTGAACCTGGCTCCTGAGCAGAGAGGATACAGCATAATTCGCAATTAGCACTGAGCCCTGTTGGTATTAGAGGCCTAAACAGAGAAAGCCACAGACGTAAACATATCTCGACCCTTGCACAAGTTGATAAGTGATGATATTAAAGAGCAGTTAAATGTTCCCTGTCCCATTATAAGTGAATACGTTAGTGACTGATTGGTGATGTTGAAATCTTTCTCTACACATTTTACATCAAAATGGCCCAAAAAGTTTGGGGAAAAAAAGGATTTTAGATAAGATAGCCGGGTCACAACGTCAAGCCACAAGAGGAATAAAACCCTTTTTTACATACAATATCAAATCCAGATATACGTGGATCAGCAGGTGTCTCGGGTTCTCTTACTGTTCTGCGTAATACCGTTGTTGCCCTCTCTTTCTTCTAATTCACCAAGGCAGCATTTTCTAAATTGCAGCCACAATACTTTGCAAACAATGACCAGACCCATATGTCTGGAATACAAGTGCAGTCAAAGAGTCCCTTATTGTTTCTAAGTATAGAAATTGTAATTGTATAATAGCCAGACATAAACAAGACCCAGCCACAATAAGAACAGTGTTTTGAGAAGACTTGTACTGTGCGTAATAGTATTTGCATCCGTATGTGTGTGTGTGTATGTGTG